CGAGGGGTCCCCGGGACCCCCCCCAGGTGTCCCCAAAGGCCCTGGGACCCCCCCCCCATCCCCAGTGTCCCCCCCCAATGTCCCCAGTGTCCCTTTGTCCCCACAGGAGGTGGACATGGGGCTGGCGGCCGACGTGGGGACCCTGCAGCGCCTCCCCAAAATCGTGGGGAGCCAGAGGTGGGTGGGGGGACACGGGAGACCCTCCCCCAGTGTCCCCAAAAATGTCCCCAATGCCCCAGTGTCCCCAAAATGTCCCCAAAACCCCAAAATGTCCCCAAATGTCCCCAATGTCCCCAGCCTGGTGAACGAGCTCGCCTTCACCGCCCGCGTCATGAGAGCCCCCGAGGCGCTGAGCTGTGGCCTTGTCAGGTGGGGGGGACCCCGAAATTTGGGGTTTTTTTTGGGGGGGGGGGTCCCCAAAATCGGGGAGGGGCTCTGGGGGTCCCCAGGGACGGGAGGGTCCCCACATGGTGACACCGGGGGGGGTGGCAGTGGGGATTTTGGGGAGTTCGGGGTGGGTTTGTGGGGAGGCTCGGGGGGATTTGGGGTGAATTTGGGGTCGATTTTGGGGTGAATTCTGGGTGAAATTTGGGGTAAATTTGGAGTGAATTTTGGGTCGGTATTGGGGTGGATTTTAGGGTGAGTTTTAGGTGGATGTTGGGTCGATTTTGGGTGAATTTGGGCTGAATTCTGCGTGAATTTTGGTTCGATTTTGGGTGAATTCTGGGGTGAATTTGGGGTGGATTTTGGGTCGATTTTGAGTGAATTCTGGGTGAATTTTGGGGTGAATTCTGGGGTCGATTTTGGGGTGGGTTTTGGGTGAATTTGGGGTGGATTTTGGGGTGAATTTTGGATGAATTCTGGGTGAATTTTGGGGTGAATTCTGGGTGAATTTGGGGTGGGTTTTGAGGTGAATTCTGGATGAATTCTGGGTGAATTCTGGATGAATTTTGGGTGAATTCTGGGGTCGATTTTGGGGTGAATTCTGGATGAATTTTGGGTGGGTTTTGGGTGAATTCTGGGTCGATTTTGGGGTGAATTCTGGATGAGTTTTGGGTGAATTCTGGGTCGATTTTGGGTGAATTCTGGGGTGAATTCTGGATGAATTCTGGGTCGATTTTGGGTGAATTCTGGATGAATTCTGCGTGAATTTTGTGGTGAATTCTGCGTGAATTTGGGGTCGATTTTGGGTGAATTCTGGGGTGAATTCTGTGTGACTTTTGGGGTGGCCGTGTCCCCCAGCCGGGTGCTCCCTGACAAGGACACACTGCTGGAGGTGGCCCTGGAGGTGGCCGTGGCCATCGCCGCCCGCAGCCCCGTGGCCGTGCAGGGAACCAAAGTCAACCTGGTGTACTCGAGGGACCGGCCCGTCAGCGAGGGGCTGCTGCACGTGGTGGGTGTCCCCAAAACAGTGTCACCATCCCCAAAAAACAGTGTCACCAACCCCAAAACAGTGTCACCAACCCAGAAATACTGTCACCAACCCCAAATAGTGTCACCAACCCAAAACTGTGTCACCAACCCCAAATAGTGTCACCAACCCAAAACTGTGTCACCATCCCCAAAAACTGTGTCAACATCCCAAAACAGTGTCACCAACCTCAAAACAGTGTCACCATCCCAAAACAGTGTCACCATCCCAAAAACTGTGTCACCATCCCAAAAACAGTGTCATCAACCCCAAAAACTGTGTCACCAACCCCAAAACAGTGTCAGCATCCCAAAACAGTGTCACCATCCCAAAATAGTGTCACCATCCCAAAAAACAGTGTCACCATCCCAAAATAGTGTCACCAACCCCAAAAACAGTGTCACCAACCCCAAAATACTGTCACCATCCCAAAAACAGTCACCAACCCCAAAAACTGCCCCAAAACCACTGTCACCACCCCAAAAACTGCCCCCAAAACAGTGTCACCACCCCAAAAACTGTCACCACCCCTGTCGCATGTCGCTGTCCCCAGGCCACCTGGAACATGGCCATGCTGCAGACCGAGGACATCCCCAAGTCGGTGCAGGCGGCGCTGGACAAGAAGGGACCCGAGGACGTCCCGTTCGCCAAGCTGTGATGTCACCTCAGTGCCACCAGGGCCACCCATGGAGCCTTCCCTGAGCCCTGATGTCACCTCAGTGCCACCAGGGCCACCCATGGAACCTTCCCTGAGCCCTGATGTCACCTCAGTGCCACCA